AAAAGGAGAAAAATCCATACACTCAATTTGTACTGGAGGCTGTAGCTGGGTCATTCCTTAACTGACACTGCTTTTGGTAAAACTACCTTTCTGGGCAAAATGGGAAATCTAAACAACCTCTTTCCAAGTATCATATTTTAAAAATGCAACAAGTTAAAGCAGACATTTAAGATCACCACTGTGATCAGCGTTTTCTAACATGAGCTTTGTGAACCACAATCTGGAAAGTCCGGTGTTTCTGCTGTTAAAGAGGAAGACTTTGCTATGTAAATCCTTAGCATGTTCAACCTGATTAACCCAGCACTGGATACATTTCAGCACCCTAACAGTGCAAAGTATCTGCACTGTTACACTCTTGCATTTTTTTGTGGCACAACACGAGTTATGGCAGTTACCTGGCTACAGTTTGCTCCTCTGTAATACTAATACTACTAATAATAATATCACATATCTTCTATAAATCCACATATCATAAAAGCAAACCATCAAACACAATATTTAGGATCCAGGAGAATGCTAAATGTACAAGTCTCCGGATCAAGAAGCTGAGATATTAAACTGTTACATTCTTCATCAAGTTTAACATTTCAACAGTACATGTGAACCTTACTGGCCTTATGTTTGCTGTTCAGTCACACTGGACACCTGCACTGATTAAAATATCACGGATGATTTCCAGCCAGCTAGATGCAAAGCACAGTAAGGAAACAGCAATAGCTTCCTGAAATGTGAGATTTCACAATACACAGGTTATTTCATAGACTGACAGAATCATAGAATAGTTAGTGTTGGAGAGGACCTTAAGATCATCTAGTTCCAAGCCCCCTGTCGTGGGCAGAGACACCTCACATTAAACCATGTCACCCAAGGCTCTGTCCAACCCGGCCTTGAACACCAGAAATACATCTCTGCCACAGACACAGAATAAAGACTTATGTACTCCACAGCCTCCTTGACTCCCTGCAGTCCATTCTCATGCACAGGAGTACTGGTATCTAATCATCTGAGAAAGGTGCTCTTGCTTAACCTGACTAACCTATTGCAAGAAAGTATTTGGCTCAGGTCTTCAAGAAACAAACGACATCTCCACCTGCATGAATTAAGGGCATTAAATGATTATACACAGTCAGTATGTATGTATGTATGAGTATATATATATATATATATATACACACACATATATGCAAACTGTATATATATTTTTAAACTCCAAACTAAGAACAAGAGGTTCATACAAATCTTAAACTTGTTTGGACACAGAAATACACTATCCACCTGCCAGGCAAAACTACAGCACCAATGGAAACTTACAGAAAGCTTGGATGCATGCTGCATTTACATTCTCAACTTGACAACAAGTAATATATTTCATGAATTTGCCATTTAACTCAGGACTAGATGAAGAGCAAGTTGTAATTATTACTTCAAACAATGTAATTCATTAAATATAAATAAATCTTTACCTGCTAATTGTGTCATTCTGTTTGGAGAGTGCCAAGATGACTGATTTTTCACAAATAGTCAAAACCACACCAAATGACAACACACATACATCAGTACTGAGCTACCCTTCAATCATTTTGAAGAAGTCAACAAATTAACCATAACTGAATGATCTGGAAAGCCCTGTCCAGTTTGATGGTTATACATAACCAATGCTCAACCATTGCAAGCATTTTTAAAAATGCAGTCCTGTTTCTCGTTGGCTGCTGAACATTAGCAGTGCTGTATCTAACTATCACACAATATTGTTGTCGTCATATGCTGCTGGGCACTTCAGTGGAAGAGCAACATCAAAATATCAGTGAAAGCGTATTATTAGTTACTGGCACAGAGACAGAGGAGTATTTTGAGCCTTCAGATACTGGCATGTCTTGCTTTAAGACACAAACTGAAAAAAAATATCCCATTATTCAAAAAAAAAAAATTTTTTTCTTAATTGCTGCAAAGATTTTTCTCATCTACATAACAGTAACTAATAGTAAAGCCAAGTTGAAAAACTCATCTTTTTTTATTGTTCTGTAACAGCCTTATACTGTTATGCAGCTGTAACATACACTTAAATTCTTCTGCTAAGACATTCTGCAGTCAGAAAGCCTTAAAAAAACACTATTAGGACATTTGGGTGTCCCAACTGCATGACAGCCTGCTGTTGCCTAGCCTTCCATTTACAACTATAAGATATAATTTTGTAAGATCTAAAATGTTAGTCTTTCTATGGGCTTTAATTATGCTTTTAAAAGTAAGGCCAAACAAGGCATGTTCTAAGCCTGTTCTCAATATATCCCTTTCTGTCACAAGGGACATAGTTAAACCCCGTAACACAAGATTTGAAATTATCAAAAAACATTTATACATGTAGTTAACAGCAACAGTACCAGATTCGTAGCATTTGAATAGCTATAAGCTCTTGACTAAAAACATCCTTCTCTCAACCTACTCACCTTTACAACATATGAGTGACTATGATGACATTTACCATTAACAATAGCTTGCCTGACACTAAAAGTATCTCTGAACTGTTATTCCATGACTAGAGAGTTCAGACAATTTCCCTTGCATCACTCACCAGCAAATCACTTCAGCATACAGACCTTAAACATACAAGTCGCCGGTAGGACTGCTCACATGCCTTCCCTACTTAGATCTTAAGTAAAAGCAATTATTTGACTAAGGAGTTACAGGCCTACATACTGACTTAGAGGAGTATCTTCAATGAACATTTATTACGAAACTTGCATAGTCTTCTAGAGTGACACATTCACAGGTTCCAACTCAGAAGCCAAGCCTAAAAGCCTTGGCCTTATGTAAGTAAGTCTGCTGCAGGGAAAAACACTGTTCCACCACTACCCAGCTCCTTACGCAGCTGCGCAGAATCCAAAAGCCCCAGCAGCCAAATATTAATACAATTTCAAAGAGTTACCATCTGCACTCCTCGGTCAGAAACAGTGTGAAATCTGATACATTGAGTTTTACATTGAGGGTGGAGAGGTGAGGTGGGAAAGTCACCGTGAACGACTGTTGAACTTGAGTCCCTGATTTTAGGTAATTCTATAGCAACTAAAGGACTGATCAAAATAACTACGTGATGAAGGTTACTAGTTCACAATACCACCCCATCTTAAGAGTTTTAGGAAGCAAAATTAGTCATAATAATGCCACTCACTGAATGTTATGTCAAGGGTTTGTCGTTCTTCAGTTATCAGTGATAACCTGGCAACACCGCAGTTCCAAACAGACTGTTAAAAGCCTAGCCTGTCATTACTACCCTGCTTCTCGTTATTGAGGATTTATTTAAAACCAGGCTCCAGTCACGGCACGCTACAGCGATGCTTTCGTGTTCAGACGCGGCTGCCGGGGTCCCACGACATCCGTCCCTACCACTACACGGGCGGGACCCGCCGCGGTAGCTCTATCTTTGACAGCGGCACCGCCGCAGAGCGGCACGGCCGCCCGAGCCCCCGGCTGTGCCCCGGCTCCCGCCTCGCGTTCCCCTCCGGCAGGCACCCGGCCCGGCGCACGGCTCCCCGCGGCTCTCGCCCGGGCCGGGGCGAGCGGCTGCTCCGCACCTGTCCGCCACAAAGGAGATGACCCCGCTCCTCCCCGCGCGGGCTGCCTGCCGGGCTGAGGCGACGGGAGGGCACCGGCCCCGCAACCCCGCCTCGCCCCGGGGGCGCGGAGCCGCAGAACCAACGCGAGGCGAGGGCGCGCTACCCCTCACCCTCGTTAAGTGGGTGGAGAAGCGATGGAAGAGCCGAGCTCCGGCAGAGTATCGCGTCAGCGCCCACCGCGCCCCTTCCCCTGGGGCATCGGGCTGTGCTGCGGGCGCCGCGTCGGGGCTCAGCTTTACCTGACGGTGGGCATGGCTCCCCGCCCCTCCAGCCGCCCGCCCGCGGCGGAGCCCCACAGGTCAGCGGCGTCGCCCCTCCGCCCGGCACCTCACCGGCCGTTAACCGCCTGCCACCCCAGCGCCGCCCGCCTCGGCCGCGACTGAGCCGCCGGCCACGGCTCGGCCGACCCACCCGCGCGCCACCGCCCCGCCCCGCCCCGCCCGCGCGCCGCGCCATTGGCTGGGCCGCCCGGCGGGGGTGGGGCCGCACGCGCCCTCCGCGGCGGCTGGGGCGCGAGGAGCCCCGTGAGGAGGCGCGGGCGGCCGCCCCGGGGCAATGGGCGACCGGCCCTAGGATCCTGCCCCGCAGCGCACGGTACCGAGCGGCGCCGCCCGCCAGCAGCCCGGGCTCACTGGCCGCCATCTTTGGTGCGGGCAGAGAGCACGCACCTCCCACACGCCTCCTCCTGCTGTCACCTCCCTTCCCCCCAGCCCGAAATGGCAGTTGTGGGCGCCAGCGCTAATTAAACAAAACGTTTAACGGAGGTAGTGAAGAGGTGCGGGGCTGTAAGCCGTGCTGCCCGCGTCAAAGATGGCCAGTGGTGCCCCTGGCAGCGCTGTCCCGCAGCTGTCACGGGGCTGCTCCCCTCGCGTCTGCCCGCAGCCCCGCCGGGGCCGCTCGGCCTCCCTCGACACGCGAGTTCCGCACACGGGACACGAACGCCTCTCCGCGCTCTGGATCCGTGTGCTGGGTCAGATCTTAACGGCGCCGGAGGTGACCTTCTGCGCAACCGGGCACCGGCACCCGTGAACAGCGAAGACCGCGTTTCCCTGTGTAATCGTAACCGGTGCTGGGGCGGGGGGCTGGCGGGCACCGCGTAGCTCTCGCCTTTAGCTCCAGGAAGGACATCTATTTTATCCCCGGGTTGCTGAACACCTGGCAGCCACCTGTGGTACGCAGCGACCGGATATTACTCTGCCTTTCCAACCTCACAGATGAGACGTGGGCCTGTTTGCCACCATCTGCGGGTAAAAAAGGGCAGCCCTTCACTGCCCAAACCGCTTCTTGTCCGCATTCAAGCAGAACTGCCTTACCAGAAAGGAAAAGAGTTGCTAAAGCCAGGTTCTTCTTGTCACTCTTCCTACCTACTTGCTTTGGCTGTCAAAGTTACTGCTACCCCTTGCAGATTTGGCACACTTTGATAACTTACCAGCACCAGAAACACTGATTCATGAAACTGATGTCAGAAGAGGTTGTTTTTGCCAAAAGTGAATCCCATGTTGTTCTGGTAAGTACTGCTGTGTCACCTCTAATTGAATATTTAAACTTTACAACTTCCTAATCGTGTGGTTGGTTCTTAGTTTCCCTTCCTTTCCATCTACAAAAGGGGAATATTATAGTCAGAAAAATTTAAGCCAAACTTTTTAATTATTTCTGATTTTTTAGTGTCGTGGAAGAGATGATGCCAAAATTTGAGATGGTCATGATGCTCAAGGACCTATAATGTCACATGAAGATAACAGGAATATTTATGTTCGATACCTGATGTAGGACAAATTTCTCTAAACTGGACACTCAAAAATTACTCAACCCTTACAAAATTTTCATTATTAATGTGTGTCAGGGGTCTTAATAAGTCAAACTAATTGGAGCTGGAAATGCATCCATGCCCCTACTGTTGCAATGCACAGTACAACAGGTCCCCAAATCCTGACAGAGGATTTTGAACTCTAATAAAATGTAAATACTATATTCGGATATATAATGTCTGTATCCTCTGACCCATGATGAATAACAAATTATTCCTAGTTTAACAGTTTCAGTACCTAACAGCCAAGCCTCTAGTTTGTAACTGAAAATGGGAGGGGTGGGGGGAATCTGATCACAAGCAAATATAATGGCAGCAGTAACATTGCTTCGTCGTCTTGATCCCATCAATGTGTTTTAAAGAATGATCCCATTTTTTAAAAAAATCAAGCTATAGATTCCCTCATAAATAATTCCCAAGCACATACAACTATGTAAAGGAAAACAGATTAAATATATATGTTAATATATTATTAGTAATTTATAAGATACAACTGCATATTATGAATATTAAGCTACAGAGGCCAAATGAGGTACCATCAAATGTTTGTAACTTTCTACCAGTGCAGAATAGGTCCAGAAGTATGTTTTTCTAAAATGCAAAATTAACAGCCCTTCACAAAATAGCATGTATGATACCTCAACAGCACTTGTCAATAGCACTTTATAAACTTCGAACTATTCCCAAGTGCCTAATCACCTTGCTTGTACTATCATATATTCTACCGTTACTGATGTCTTCAAGACATCACCAACTACTACGGGTTTTTCGTCATTTGCCAGGGAACTTCTAGACATCCTGATACATAAGTGAAGCAACAGGAACCAGGGTATCCCTGGAAAAACAGTCATTTATTGCCTATGGTCATTCGTAGATTAACGTTATGATGCTAGTGCCACAAGTTCAACTTGCAGTCACATCACATATGTGCTAGGCAGCCAGTCTGAGTTTGCTCAGCCTCCCTGACACCTTCCAAACTCACTCTGCTTGCGTGAGGCAACCGACTTGTGCCTACACATGTGTTTTGGCTTCAGAAATCCCTGAGAGAAATATGGAATTCACAGCGTTTGCACCCCAAAAAAGTATATAATACCTGACAGGGTCTAGCCACAACTTCTCTCAAGTGCTTCTGTTACTGTACAGTAAGGAAGAGATATTCATTAGATGAACAATTATTTCTCAGATGATTTCACTAAAACACTTCCTTTCAAGCACGGTGGTGTGAATTAAAAATGAATTGCACCCATACCTGATACAACAAAATATAAGCATGTGAGAATTTTTAAAATCACACTGTATTGAAGTAGCACACAAAAACTAGGCATTTTATACATTTGTAACTTTTGTATCCAAGACACAGGCAATCTAGGCCTTAGCCTTGGATTAATATGCTATGTTTTACACCACAAATATTTGGTATAATTCAGCCTGTTTACACTACAGAAAATTCTCCATTAACCCTTGCATTTTTCTCAATTTCTTCAAAGTACAAACCTAAGGTTAATCTTAGATAAGCTGCCCACTCTTCTTCTTTTGCAAGACAGAAGAATGAGCTTTTACATAGTAGCCTTAACAGACATTATAAAATGAGCCTAGCCAGCAGGAAGTCCAGAAATTCTCTTTCAATAACAGCATTCTTCAGAGCCTGCATGTATTTCTTGCTAGAACACTGACTGTTTTGAAAACTTTTCTACAGAGAGAATTTTGTATCTTGCAACATAAAATAAGATGTATTTTATCTGTGCAGATCTATTATCAAAGTATTAAAAATAATTTTAATTATTAATTTAAAATTCCATAGCATAATCTCATTTCTTTTAATGCAGCTTCACACACCATACACCTGTAAGAAGAAAGAAAAGTCTATGAATCTAAGTCTTCATCATATTGCAGACAACTATACTTGTTTTCTGTCTTACTCTAGTCAAATAGCCTAGCCCTTGAAACACTTACAACTACTTTGTATCACTGACTGTATAAGGGGAAAAAAAAAAACAACACAAAAATCTTTCACTGTAAGTGAAATCCCAAGGTAGCATAAAGCCAGCAAATAGCTTTATGTTACTGTATCCTTCAAGCACGGAACAGCTTTAACTGTGGTCAAACAATCATTACAGAAATGATTATAGTTCAAAATGGAAAAAATGCCCTACCCTTCACTGAACTGTGAGTGATATCCAAAGGCTTCTCTCCTTCACACAAAATGCTTTGATATTTATCACATAAATAACATTAGCATGTCAATTGAAATTATTTAAGAAGCAATTCATGTAAATAAAAAATGAACAGCTTTGAGAAAACATAGTGTTCACATCATATCTGCAAGTTCAATTTGTATTTTTCAAGATAAGGTTTTCCAATATGTTGCCAGCAAATACTAATTAATAACCTTTAGATAGCAACCCATTCCCTGCTGCTGAAACTGGTTTGTGAAATATTTGTGTACCATGCCTGTGTAACTACTCAAATTCAGTATCACAACCTTGAATCACAAGCCAGAGTTTTGCTTCAAACATTTCCACATGAAATATACCTCAGCAACCACAGAGTAAGCCAAGGTCTTGTTCTGCAGAAAGTGCATTTCACACTATTGCACTGCCACTGTATCCAACTACTACTATATTCACTCAACTCCTTTCCGGGCATCTTCCTTGTCTGCTTATAATATTAGGAGAATCAATTAGATGAGTAATTCTGCACAAGCTGTTTCATTAGCTGAAAAAGAAGGAACTTCAAGATTCATAATGAAATAGGCAGATTTGCACTGGGTGCCCTCCCACAGGTAACCAAGCATGCAAGCAGCTCTAGGGACAAGGCTAGTCCTGTTGATTTCAGGGAGGCAGCACACCAAGTTCGAGGCTCATGTTCCTCCAGGGTATCAGCAAAGACTACTATGTCTGAACTATCTGTTTGTCAGTATGACTCTCCTGGCCAGGTGGGCTGCAGGTAACAACACTAAGGAAAGAAAGAGACACCAGCCATGCTTGTGGTCCCGAGCAGAAGGCACCTTCCCACGACCTCCTCTTTCCTCAGGTTACACACCCCTTCCTGTAAAGCAGGGATTTACCTTAATTAAAGGGATGAAAACACCATAACAAGCCTCTCCAATACAAGAACACAAAATTGTGGAAATATGACACGCTGTGAGAAATCCCACAGGATTACATCAAAGGCCAGGTGAAGACACACGTCAGTATTGACAGCAATTTGAGAGTTACATAGAACAATGGAAATGAGGGCCTGAACTGCAAGATTGAGGTATTTTCCATGCCGCAAGTCATTCCGGTTTTGGATATATTTTCATAAACACAACTTTGAAGGGAAGCTTGCTGCTGTTATATCCTAAATAAAGCAAAAATAGCAAAGTCTGTTGCTAGTGTCTTCGAAAGTATTTGTTTCTCTGCTTTCGACAGGAGTCTAAATACCCATCTGAAGAAAGTATCTATTGCTTTTACTCTCCTGGGAGCAAACACAGCAAGGTGCTTGAGTTTCAGGTCTTTCTTTGTAGTAAGAGACCATTTAGAGTACTGACATGGAAACCATTACTCATGTTTCCAGATATGAGAAATCGGAAAGTAAGAGAAGTATAAGCCACAAAGACAGAAACTGAAATGAATACAAATGGGAAGAGAGATCAAATTATTAAAAAAAAAAAAAAAAAACCTGAAAGCTTTGTCACAGCTAATTTAAAATATTCAGAGTCTGGATTAAAAGCCATCTTATTAAGAAAAGTAAAAACGCATTAGATTTGCAATATTTTTCAGTCTCAGTAGCAAGCTGTCTAAAATCTAGTGGAACAGTAATGATAAAGGACTGCTTTTGATAAAAATTATATTATTTGATTATATTGATTATTTGATTTATAGTGATAAAAATTATATTATTTGATAATAAAAATTATTTGATAATAAATTATCCACAAAGGGAAGAGATGTTAAACAGTAACAGGAAAAAAGGAATACTTTATACTTTTAGGATATTGTATTTGTCAAATTCAATGCTTACATTGTCTTCATGTACATAAACTGATTTGCCCAAACAGCCAGCCACGTCATGGGTATTCAATCAATACAGCAGCTGTGGAATGGCCAAAAGTCCATAATGCAGCACAGGGGACTTCACAACAGAGGATTTCACAAGTTTGTTTTTTTCTGCTGCACACATGTATATTTCTGTACAGACACGCATATATAAGCTCACACATTTCTACAGGGAACATCCAAATTCTTTTGTAACCATATCAGTCTGTTAACAGAAGCCTGGCTGTGGTTTTCACAGACTTCCAAGAGAAAACCAAACCAAATATAGGACACAAATCGTTAGTAAATTTCCTCTAAAGCACTGCCTCATGATGTTTCTAGTAAGTTGATGCTACTGCTCAGCAACAAGCCGTTTGCAGCTTTGCAAGCCTATTTTCTGTTCAAATAGCACAGTTTAGACACACAATGATATTTTATTTCACACAGCAGAGATGTAGTCAGAAGCCTGAAACAACGCAGCACGCATTAATGGCCTTGCCTAAAGCCTGTTGGTTTTAGTGGGGATTTGCACCCGTCAATAAAGACAAAGCAAAACCTGCTGCCCAGCAGATTAATGTCAGCACAACACATTGCTGAGCTGGGAACGCGAGTCTGGGTCTCGGGCTTTGTGTTCTGCTCACTGGGTGGCAAAGCTGGCCATCCTACATTGCTTTCAAGCAACTTTAGCTGAACCCAGTCAGCTTTGCTGCCTCATGAGGGAGCAATATTTGCTTTCCTTTCCCTGAAAGGATTAAAAGGGACTAAAAAAAGAAAAATACGAATCCATGAAACCTCTCTGATGCCGTTCTGGGGAAATGATGGAAAAAAAAATAAAATACATATATATATATATATATATGAGTAGAAAACGTTTGCTATTGTTGACAAGATATGGCCTATATTACAGGGTGGGATTTAATTTTTTATGTCATTTTTTATATTAAAATAGTTTTTGTGATAGCCACAGAAGAGATTCAGGTTTATATCTGATGGGACAATAAGTAAGGTACAAACCCATCCTTGTCAAGTCCATTAGACATGGTCTTCTGAAGAGGCTGGAGAGTCTCAGATCTAGATGTCAAGAACAAAGAATTCACCCCTCATTCTTGGTATAACAAATATGAAGTTGTTATCTCCCAAAATGTTCAGGCAATCTTCTTTTCTAACCTGTAGGCTGTTTCCAGTACTCCCAAGTACATCTAGCAGTGCTTTGCATTAACAACCAAAACTCATTACAAAGTCAACGAATCTCAACCATTCTGGTACCTTCTGTATTGGCTTTTAACACAGGACAAAGTCCCAC